GTCATTTTCACAAACCACAGTTGGGACGTTTTCTTTTGACTTCTCCTTGGTGATTTTTCACCGGGTTGTGCCATAAAAAAGCCATCTATCACCGACTAAAAAAAGCTCATGGCGACCATCCTCAGTCACCACCTTATAATCGCTTTCTATGATATCGTTCCCTTCCAGCACATCGTCCAAATAATTACCTGTGAAAAAAATCGTCAGCACACATCGGCGCTTTGACATTACTGAACTCGAATTCTAACGCGAAATAACGCATATGAAATTTATCTCCAAGCTGAGGAGAGCGACGCAGACGAAACCTTGAGACCGGAGGCCCCCCGTAGCTAGCTCCGCCCACCGTAACAGACATCGGACAATAGAAAGGCTTGCGTGTAATCTCCTTCTGTTATAACTCCTTGTAGTAACCAAGGCTCTGTATTGTGTAAGACTGCCATCCCGGCCACTGATCTGAAAGCAGATAATGGGACTGTTGGTAGTAATATCACATGATAACTGTTTATATGTTTACACGGGTTCCAGCTCAATTCAAAGTGAACAATCGATTGTCTCTGTCTTTATTATTGCGACCATGGCATTGTAAGGGGTAAAGCACTCCTACCTCTCCTTGGATGTTGTGAGTGAAGACAGGGTCACAGAGTTACCCGTGACGTGAATAATCGAGCTAAATAATTGAAAACCAGAGGTCGTCGAGCAGCGCCATTTGTGTACCACATTCTAATCATTGGCTTATTACCACTTGAGATAATGTTACATTGAATCTTTTGATATGTTCAGGTCTTCAATCCTGGGAATACGGCTTGGGGGAGAGACTAAACGCACCGTCTGAGCATTAATTGTGTGTATTACGTGAATGAACACATTAATAAGACAAAAACAGCAAGATAGGAAATTATCAATACATATGATTGAACTAACTTCACGCCAAGGGTAGTTCACACTCATCAATTGTTAATCGATACGTTTTACGCTGTGCTCATTTTGGTTGATAATTAACACACTCTAATGTTGAAAAGCAGGCTTTTCTGTTCACCTGATTAAAAGTGCCATTTTAAATGGAGGAAAAGATTGACACCATGATAACGGCATTAACAGCAGAGAACTACAAGTCAGAAAAGCAGAGTCGGCCATATCAAGAGCACGGATTCTCCTGCAGCCTCCACTTACACACGTATCCTATGTTCTCAGAACTCTGAACTGCATCTTCATGATAGAAATATGGCATTTGTGCACCAAATGTGCCGCTGTCTAAACTCTAAGACTCTCTGGTATCAGCAAGCTCTCAATGTCGGAAGAATATCTATACTAGTTATTGGAGCTGTAACTGTTCTGACATTGTGTCTTCTGATTCCCTTTCAGTACACTGATGTTTGTCGTGGGCCATGCCAATGCACGGAGCAGTCCATCACGTGTCAGGAAGGGGTGGGAGGGGTGAAAGACGGCTGTAATTGCTGTTTTATTTGCGCCCGTCAACAAGGAGAGACCTGTAACAAAAGGGACATATGTGACGAGGCTAAAGGACTCACGTGTGACACAACATTCGGAGATGGCACCAATGGACGCGGGATATGTAGAGGTACGTAGAAATATTGGTTAATGTTACGTTTATCGGTTCTAAATATGCACGGTTTCTGCAAACTCTGTCATATGCTCCCAGCACAAGAACACACACACATCTTTTGTGTGAATAAAATGCCAAAACGGACCCCAAATGTTTATTAAAACTACAGTGTTTATGTCGTCTTTGCCTAAACTAGCGGTGTAATTGTTTCAGCAAAAGAAGCCAAATCCTGTGAAGTTGACGGCAAGGTCCACGAGGATGGTTCCCAGTGGTACAAAGACTGCCGCACTATGTGCACATGCCAGAATGGTAACTACGGCTGTGTCTCTGTATGTCCACAAGAACAGACCAAACCCACCAACCCCAACTGTCAGCTGGTCACAGTCAGAGGCAAGTGCTGCAGGGAATGGATGTGTCATGTTCCCAGAGCCAGGATACGGCAGCCGCCGCCAACCAAATCTGACTATCAGAACACAGAGGAAATTGTACGAGGTATTTACTATAGAAAGATGTTCACAGCCCACTGTTAGTATAGTTTATTAGTAACTATGTAAAAAACGTTCCTGAAGCAAACGTTTCCACAGCAGACATACAAGTATAGCGCAGGTCTGGTAATTATGTACCCCGGCCTATTTCAAACAAGTTTTCTGAACATGACTTCTAGCACAGATTCATCTACCAATAAATGCCCAGTCATTGTTAAATCAAACGTTTCCTGCCCACTGTCGGTCTGTGTCAGTCGTGGGATCAGGGTCGTTGTACCTTTGTGACCTTCATTGCTAAGTGCAGCATTGATTTTGCACGTATCATTGGCACTGTATGGCCTAGCTCGGGTTAGACCACGAGGCAAAGCTTCATGACACCCGTTTCAGGTTAAAGTACAGTGAATAGTAAATCTTTCTGTTGCACAAGCTCGTCTATTGGTTTTTCTCCACAATACTGACGGGTGACCAGTGCAACAACAGGATGAGAGCATAAAATCAGGCCAAAGATGGCCAAGATATATAAGGTGGGAAGTATGGGTGTAGGGGTGTTCTACCACAAATTGTCCATTTCTGACGCTGAGGAATTAAGCAAACACAATCCTTAGCCAAGAGCCTGCTTAGAACAGTCTTATGTGACGATAATTTATTAACCACGATTGTCCATTCTGCCAATGTATGGCGTGCCAAAACGACAATTCTCTTTATTACTGTGACTTCAGAAGAAAACAAGATTTACATTAGACCTTTCCCTCATGGTCCCCTATTGCAAATGTTCCCTATCACTTACCATACATTTCACAAAGGTCGCTCCTTACACGTCATACAGGCAGTTCCTTACAAGTCAAATTGCGCTTATTTATTTTGAGTGTAATGTGTGTTAACGAGACAACCTGTCAGGACTCCCTACTTATGCAACGTGATTTTGGTTTGGAGGTCAGTTTAATCTCCTTGAACATAGCAGATGTACCATCACAGATCATAACACCCCCACTGTCACTGGATAGACCGCTAATGTGACATTAGTAGCGGCGTACGCGTGTGTGACAGCATCAGTACTCTTTAACTCACTGCAATATGTAACCTAGCCCGACACATCCTCTATGCTTCAAACACCAACCAAATTAACTTAGCAAATTACCATAATCAAACTCTACTCTGGTTTCTCTGACAGGATTATGTGGACTAAATTGGCGTTTAATACATCCTTCTTGCTCATCACTTCACGTGTCTGCTTTAAGGAACTTGTTATTTTGCCAACCATACATAGTGTCAGGATATAGTCTGTTAGATAAGTGAGAGGAGAGGATGTTGCCATCAGCTATCTGAAGATTAACCTCGGAATAAAACTAGTTTCGGAATTGATGGTCTGAGGTAACCTTGCGTGTGGTTGTGATTTGATCCCGCTTAGTTCCGTAGCTGATATGTGAATAACCGTGATCGCGCATGTGTGGCAGGAATGGTAGTCCTAGGAATGAAGTCCTGAGTCCCATGTGATTACTACAGGTTTGGGCTAGTCAGTATGACAGGAATTATAGTCCTAGGAATGAATGTCCGGGGGCCCATATGATAAATGCAGGTTTGGGTGAGTCGGAGTATAGGGGATTAAATATGGGACGCATGTCACCTGTATAAACTAATGGGGAACAGACTATGGTTCCTAGCAGACTTCAATTCCTGTCACACCTGTATAAACTAATGGGGAACGGACTATGGTTCCTAGCAGACTTCAATTCCTGTCACACCTGTATAAACTAATGGGGAACGGACTATGGTTCCTAGCAGACTTCAATTCCTGTCACACCTGTATAAACTAATGGGGAACGGACTATGGTTCCTAGCAGACTTCAATTCCTGTCACACCTGTATAAACTAATGGGGAACGGACTATGGTTCCTAGCAGACTTCAATTCCTGTCACACCTGTATAAACTAATGGGGAACGGACTATGGTTCCTAGCAGACTTCAATTCCTGTCACACCTGTATAAACTAATGGGGAACGGACTATGGTTCCTAGCAGACTTCAATTCCTGTCACACCTGTATAAACTAATGGGGAACGGACTATGGTTCCTAGCAGACTTCAATTCCTGTCACACCTGTATAAACTAATGGGGAACGGACTATGGTTCCTAGCAGACTTCAATTCCTGTCACACCTGTATAAACTAATGGGGAACGGACTATGGTTCCTAGCAGACTTCAATTCCTGTCACACCTGTATAAACTAATGGGGAACGGACTATGGTTCCTAGCAGACTTCAATTCCTGTCACACCTGTATAAACTAATGGGGAACGGACTATGGTTCCTAGCAGACTTCAATTCCTGTCACACCTGTATAAACTAATGGGGAACGGACTATGGTTCCTAGCAGACTTCAATTCCTGTCACACCTGTATAAACTAATGGGGAACGGACTATGGTTCCTAGCAGACTTCAATTCCTGTCACACCTGTATAAACTAATGGGGAACGGACTATGGTTCCTAGCAGACTTCAATTCCTGTCACACAGGCACTTATCATTTAAATGCTGCTATTAAAATTTCTCCTGAAGAGAGCTGTCAATATAAAGGTTTTTACTTTAAGCCAAAGCACAGCAGCTGTGCGGTGCGGCTTTGTCTGGTGTGGGAGCTGCTGTACTGTAAACTGCGGAAATCTTAGAAGACTGTTAAAATCTTATTAGTAATGGATTTGCCCTAGTTAATGTCCTTCCAATCCTTTGCCCTCAGATCACATATATATATAGTTTTATGTAAATAACAGGAACAGAAAAACAAACGTCTACAAATTGTACTATTGCTGATTTTATTCTCTGTCGTCTTTTTATCAGTACTGTGTTTTGTAAGGAAATTAAAAATCTCTAGTGGTTGTTAGCCCATGTGAAGTTGGGCACATTTTAGAAGAACTGGATCGAGTGTCGTTTCCATCGGGATTTTGAATTAGCTCCCCTTGTGTTTATGGAAGTCGCAGATAGCTCCAAAATTGAGTTACAATCGATTTTTTTTTCAACAAAGGGTTGGTTCATTGCCATATCTGTAAGGATACCATTGTAAGCTCCAGAGCGCACTCTCTCCCTTACCTCTTATCTACATACCAACACACTGGAACTGGCGCTGTCTATTCTCACTGCGCACATTACAAAACCAGATTTGTTTTCTTAACACCCCCCGTATTCACCAAACTTTTTTGTTTTTTCTATTCACCAATAATTTTACAGAGACATTACACATTTGCAGGATCTGATGGAAACTCCCCTTTCTTGCCCGTTCTCCTATGACGCCATTTGGCTATGTTTTTACAGAACTATCAAATATATTGTCTTGGTACATATGTTTATTTTCTTACAGAAGGCAACTGCTCTCCTTGTTGAAGTGATTTGGCTTGTACCAGTCGCAAATGTACACTTCACGTTCATTTCTACGTTTCAGAGCCGTCGTCACCTCCAAACCGGAAATGTAACCTAATGACGTCATCCTGGAGCGCGTGTTCCAAAACATGTGGTTACGGAATCTCGGTCAGAGAGAGCAACGACAACGCTGAGTGCAAGACAGTCCAGCAGCAACGAATTTGCATTTTCAGGACCTGCGATTTGCCCGATAAGAAGTTGGTAGGTGGTCACATATATTAGGGAGCAAAGACTGATAGTAGCTTGTAAATAGGCTTGTAAAGTGCAGCTTGATTAGAAAGGTATTTCGATATCAGAATGGACTTTCGCATTAATATAAGTACAGGGGAGTTTCAGATTGTTTTAACAATAGCGATAGCTTTCTATGCCTGTCACGTACATATAAATAATACAAAATAGGTCATTGTTAATATCTAAATATTTTGCACCTTATCTTATGTGGACGGCCGTGAAGACTTGTCTGCCAAGCGTACGTGCTGATGTAAGTCATGAAAACTGAGAGGCGGAGCATCCACACGATAACTACTTTTCCCGATGAGCATCACGATTTATCTCACTTTCTTCTCTTACTTATTTATTTCTCTTTACATCCAGAGAGGAAAGACGTGCAAGGCAACTTTTAAAGCGGAGAAGTCTGCGAAGCTTACCTACAAGAACTGCACGACTACCAGGGCTTACCGGCCAAGGTACTGCGCCTCCTGTAAACGCCATCGGAACTGTATTCCCGTCAAGGACAAGACAGTCACCCTGGAGTTTGAGTGCGAGAAGGGAAGGCTGACGACATTGAGCTATATGTGGATTAAAAAGTGTAAATGTCTACATTCGAACCCATTACTTGCCAGAAAAGGCTGGAAAAAGAAACTGAGAAAGGATAAAAAGAGAAAGAAGACCAGATTGATGACGGATATAAACGAAACTGCTTGATGAAAAGCTGTACATGGATCTGTAGAGCTTGGTTTTTACGTTATTAATGACGAAAATTAAGACAGCAAGGCTCTATAGTACCGTATGTATAGATATAAGTATATAGACATATATTTACAAACAAACATTTATGTAAAGGGCCGCTTTGTGCATTAGAAAAAGGCTGATATAAGATAATAGCCTAATGATAATGGCAATCATTCAATGTTTAGTAAGCACAGTTTGAAGGAGTTTCAGACTACATTACATTCTTTTCAACGAGATTAAGATAAAAGTTTGTTTGTTTATACTTAAAGCAATGTTTGACCATTGTTACAGTAGCTGATGTATTATATTTAGATAGCTGATGTATATTTAGATAGCTGTTGTATATTTAGATAGCTGTTGAGCAATACCTGTCAAAAATAGTAATGAATAAAAAATGGAAATGAGAGTTGAATTACAGTAGTAATTGATATCAATGTAATTCCTTTCAATTTCAAATGTTTTCCCGCATTTTGAAACGTAAATGGTAACAGATTTTACAACACACCGAATGACAGCGGAGCCTTGAAAAAGTTGCAATTGTTTATAACTTCAAAACTTGTAATTTTATATGTATTACTTCGAAAACTTATAATAACAAATAACATCATTTTGCGTTCTTTTTCACTTGTTTTATATGGTTTGGATAAATTATTTGAAATGCATGAAAAACGCAGATTAACGCTATGGAAACAACTTGTACAATTGAGCAAAAATGTTCATTAGCTTGGTAGTTGTACTTTAAACATGAAAATTATCAAACACAAGGCGAAATATTTTCGTAGCTTAGGCCACACTTTTTTATTTTTATGGATGACATCCTGCGCGCGCACTGATTTTCGTCCGTTCTCAAAAAAAAAAAAAAAAAAAAAAAAAACCCCAAAAAAAAAAAAAAAATGA